TAAACAAATGCCACGCCGTCTTTCTCGTGGAACTTCCTCGTGAAAATGTTGTTGTTTTCACTTGACATTACATTGAGTAACAATACGTTTCCGTCGGTAAACATTTGACGCGTAAAATGTTACCACGCTTCATCGAATCCCAGCTGTCAACGACGCAACTACAGCGCGAATTGTTCACTTCTTTCAATACTGCTACGACTTACACGAGTAACATCGGTGTCCTTATTGAGTCATTCTCGAGGTTTTCTTCAGGCATAACGTACCAAAGTTTGTAATACGCAATCTACATTCACGGGACATCTAATTACTTTGATTTTAACTAGGCTGAATAAGTCGCTTCAGAAATAATCCTATCGCTAAGCTACAATCCTTGTTAATATATATCTGCATTTATCTACCATTTTGATGCACCGGAGCTATACTTCAATTTTTTTTTTTTTTTAATTTGACATTGGCAATTTCTCAAGAATCCACAAGTTGTCAATTGTTTTGCAGTTCATATCAGTTAAAAGTTTTGTTAATAGCGATGTGTATAAGGATTGTTAAATAGACACAATATAGTTACACCTTGAATTGCAAAGATTGGACCCAGTAGAGCCAAATTTGAATTAAACTCAACACAGGTGTTTCATTCTCCTGGAACCTGTCATTACCTAGAGAGCGACAGAGGAAAGTCCCAATGCGTACCGAGTGTTAAGAATCTGTATACAATATCTTTATCGTTTCTATAAACCATATGTCACAATATGGACGTCATTTAGTTGGCCCAACCCAGCACTTCCTTGAGACAATATTGCGTTTCCGAGGGCCAACGCGTCGAGGAGTCACAACTTTCACACAGAACTTCCGTATTAAAAACATTTGCCAAGGATTTTAGACTACTGGGTTCCGCAGTAATGGTTTAAGTTCTGATAAGTCGGTCAAACCAATCTGGACACTATACTTCCTAACTGATAGTTCAACAGATATGTAGTTACTGAATTCTGAAATGTATGGGGTGATGTATTACATTTCACGGATATAAAGCATGTCGTACGTTCGGTTTGAAGATACGGTCGAATCCAGCTTAGCTGTCAATCGGCCATGTGTTTCGATTGTGACGTGATGAAATAGTCCCTGTTGGACACCTTTCAGCAAATGCAGGTACGCAGAGCCTTATAAGTCAGAAACAGTCAGAACAGTGATAACGATACCAAGTCTTTCAATCTTTTAGCCAAACCAATTTATCATGGTGTTAATTGATGTCTTGCCTTTTGCAATAACATCAAGATTTGAATTTTCTTGTGATGAAATATTTGAAGATCCTACAGTGTAGATAGCGTATATACCTATTGATGTAGATGCTATACCAGGTACTGGATAGCTGTGATATAGAACACAAAGGCAGACCTATGCCTCACGCTGCAGTGACCTAAAATGTTTAAATGTCCACTTCCGATCGGTGTGGTGAATGCCCCTCCATATCTTTGATGTTGGTCAGCCCCGATGAAGAACAAGTAAAGCCCACACCTAACATAACATGCCACTTATCGAATCCCACATGCATAATAGATGTATATGAATATTCATGAGGATAAATACGGTCGCAATTGATAGACATAGCGACATCGTTATTAACAAGAAGTAGGCAGTAAGTCTTGTTTGATGGATATAGAAAACTAGGTATTAAAAACAAAGGTTTTCTTGTGACTTAATTTATGTATTACATACCCTGTTATCATTGTGGCGATCATTAAGCCATTGTGCATATTTTAATTGAAAATGCTTAGCGGAACTGTGGCTGGTCAAGGTTTCTGTTTTCACTCCGAGATCATCATTTCGTAGCGTCTTATACATTGCGTTTTTTTATCGGTTCAGTCAAGTGCTGTTCCCACGAATGGTTTCAAAAGTGTCAACTTATGCGATAAACAGAATTTTACATTCGTTTCCATGATACTGGCATGCGGAGAAAATTTAATTATTGGAAAAATATTCAAATTAGCACCATCTGCAAGAAAGGAGATCATAATGAACCTAGGTAATTGAGACGATCTTGAGAAGTGGATTATGTGAATCAAAATGGACTACCTTCGCCGAGATGATACGGTTCCTTTACGGCAGGTTAACTACGCTACACCGTAGGGTACTGAACACATGTCTATAGACTGCAGTGATAGCGGACTTTCAAAAAACACTTTATGCGTTCGCTCGTGAAAGTTTAATAAGAAAAATGTCATCGAACGGGTCAACAAAACAGGTTTTCAAATGATTAATAGAAAAAAAAAACTAAACTAAAACTAAAATGAAAAACTCAAAGTGGACCACAGTTACATTGGGAGTGCCCCAAGGATGTCTGGACCTATTTTTCTTGTAATAAACATGACTTATATTCCACATAGTTTCAAATATACTGGCTACATTTTTTTGTTGATGATACAGAAATGAAAAGTCTTTCTAAGTGGAAAGTTCAACCTAGTTAATGTGAATCTATTCAGAGGGTTTGAATAATGAAGTATATGCGCAAGTTAAAAAGGCAAATATGAATGAACGTGCTTCTCTCTTTAGAATATGAAAACACTGTCATGGTACCCTTACAAAGCTAAACATAATAATATGATTGAAAGAGTTCGAAGAAGGATGCCGGAACAAATTCCGGATTTTAGGATCTCCCATACTCGGAAAGAATAAAAAAAAGACTGAAATCTTATCTGAGTTATAGACGTGGAAGACGAGATGTCATTGAAGTATACAAGATAACAGTTTCTTTCACGCCAGATTGTCTTCAATTGTGGCAGGATTATTTTGATGTGGTAACATGGCACATTCCAAAGCAATTAATCCACAACTTTCACGGATTGAGGAAAAACTTATTTCCTCTGATCGAATAGTCTTCAGAGGAGATGATAACACTGTCGATAGATATATGAACTCTTGATAAACACTGGATTGGTCAGGATACTATATGCAATTACAGAGATAAGTTAACTTAAAAACGTGGGATGACCATACCAAAAAACTTACATATAGTTGTACTGTAAAATACATATTTAAACAACTTGTTTGAGTTCGGTGGACCGGATCCTGAATCCTGAATTCCGAATAAAAAAACTGAACTAAACTTAACTAATACTTACATAAACCGTCACTTGTTTTTCTCTTTACCTCCCCAGAGAATCACGTAGATAAACCAATCTGACAATTACCACTTAATTGACATAAAATGGAAACTATTTTAAAATATCCTAGGTAATATTGTGATATCATACTCGTATATCGTAATTACAACTGAATTCATAACGACATGTAGGTTTTGGTCGGTTAAGGTCTAGATAATGAGACCTAACGCAATCTAGTCCTAATTAAGCATTAAACATATCGCTCGTGTTCATTTCACGAACTTGTTACATATATTACACACACGTGATATACTAATCAGACATGTCATACAGCTTAACAATATCTGTCACACGTATATCTGGGAATGTCGTACATAAATTGATATGTCAATATAATTCGTTTGTTGACTTTTTCATAAATATTCTGAGAACTGTCACAAACATCTGGTTATCTTCCCCTTTTCCACGTGTTCATCTATCTCACCTACATCAGCACGTTGTGTGTACCGTGCAGTAGAAGTTGTAGTACAGTATATAACATGTCACTATATCTCACCTACATCAGCACGTTGTGTGTACCGTGCAGTACAAGTTGTAGTACAGTATATAACATGTCACTATATCTCACCTACATCAGCACGTTGTATGTACCGTGCAGTAGAATTTGTAGTACAGTATATAACATGTTACTATAATTCACCTGCATCAGCACGTTGTGTGTACCGTGCAGTAGAAGTTGTAGTACAGTATTGTTTCAGTATATAACATGTCACTATATCTCACCTACATCAGCACGTTGTGTGTACCGTGCAGTAGAAGTTGTAGTGCAGTATTGTTTCAGCATTACATCAGTAGGTTGTGTGCACTGTGCAGTAGAAGCTGTAGTACAGTATATAACATGTTACTATATCCCACCTACATCAGCACGTTGTGTGTACCGTGCAGTAGAAGTTGTAGTGCAGTATTGTTTCAGCATTACATCAGTAGGTTGTGTGCATTGTGCAGTAGAAGCTGTAGTACAGTTTTGTTTCAGTATACAAAATGCATTTGCATTTAACACGGAAAATAAATGAGTATAATTCTCTACAGATTTACGTTTTGTCGGAGAAAGACGAATGCTTTGATGTTTTAAGGGACCCTACTTCACTGGAGGTTACGACGACCAATCCACATCTACCAGATTCGCTGTCCTCTTCTGTTGGTATGGACCAAAACTTATTTTCAAACAAAGCAGTCGAACTACGTGAATGAGATGCTGACATCTAGCCAAGTGAATCTTGGTCAAACTAATTAATGTCACGTTCCCAAATGAAAACAAGGGTAACAAAACGGAACTACCAGTCATACTAACAAGCATCAACACGTCCAACTTCATATCAAGCATAAGACAATATTCCCCAATAAAAACATTGTGACGACTGTAAATTTCAACCTGCATTCTCGGACTCTTGGGTTGAAAGTTTGTCTGTTAACGGTCAGTATCTTTTATAGAAATCGTATTCTTGGGGACACGTCATTACATGTCAAATCAAACGCTACATGTAAATACCCAACAGATTATGGAAGCAGGAGATGTCAATTAAGATAAAGTATTCGATTTGGAAACGTCTAAACCGTATAGAAACATTGAGTTCTAAGGCTATTGTATATTCACTGATATCAGGCGGTATGGTTTGTTAAAAATCAATAACAGAAACAAGAAAATATCAATCAAAATCGATGAAACGAGAGGGGAATTTAATAAAAGAAAGATTTATACGAAGGCCATTGAAAAAATAACAACAAGTAATGTTATTAAAGCCATATAAATAATGCCATCTAACTTAGTAGCGCTCAAGGAAATTGCATTCAAGCCCATAACAATGTCTTTTTTTCGTCCTCAGATAGACGCTGCCAACGCTGATTATGAACATGTCAACAGAAGCTTCTAACACTTCCGTGGCAAACACAAGTTTATCGTCAGCCATATTTTTTGATAACATCACTTCCGGTTCCAACACAACGTCTACTGTTAGTTCGAATTCGGGACCATCGATATACGACTATGGTGAATACTGGGCTGCACTATACATTAACAAATATTATCTTTACGTCATAGTGGCCATCGGGTTACCAGGCAACCTTGCCGCTGTTGTGACGATTTGTAACATGCGTCCACTGACGTCATCATCCATGTATATGGTTGTTCTGGCCGTTGTAGATAGTATTAACCTGGGTTTGAAGATCCTTTACCTCCAACTGACATTACACGATGTACAAATGGGTCATAACGGCTGTAAAGTCATGTTTTTCTTTGGAACATTCTTCATGCATTATGCCAACTGGATCTTAGTTGCCATGACTATTGAGCGTTTCCTGGCGATATGGCTACCTCTGAAAGTGTCCGAGCTGTGTACGCGAACCCGCGCGATGTTTGTAATGGGTCTGATAGCCGTGCCACTCTTAGGACTCAATCTACACTTTTTCTGGTCGACCCTCGAGGTTTGGGACGACTACTACTCATGGGATTGCCAGTTCAGGTCTGAATTTGAGTACTTTATGACCAAGTTATGGTACTGGATAGATGGCGCTGCTTACAGCCTGATCCCTTTCATCATTCTTGTGGTCTTCAACATCCTCATCATCGTCGGCATCAAGCGAGGACATCGGGGAGTTATCAGTAAGATCGACAAAACTCGTATGACTGAGAAAATGAAACAACAACAGCAAATCACGATTATGTTGATCACCGTGTCTTTGGTTTTTGTCATTCTTACAATGCCAAATTGCGTTTTTTTCATCTTTCAAAACTACTGGGATTACACCGCGACCCTGCACGAATACGCCCGATATTTTCTCTTCTATCAGCTCGTGTTTGTCCTATCCGATTTTAATCACGCCATCAATTTCTATCTGTATTTTCTCAGTGGTAAGAAGTTCAGAGCAAGATTTCACGCTATCATCTGTATCTGTCGCCGGAAACAGATCAGTCGTCGACTTGGAACAACCATCTCGCACATGGCGTCTACTCGGATGTCGGCCACGGAGATGGTAAACGGACACTCTCGGAGGCCTCCCGAAAGGACAGTGCCACCAAACAGCAATGGAACGAATACGCCGGTAACGTTTAACGAAATTTGTGAATCGAAAAACGATGAAGGAAAACTAACAGAAAATGAATACATGTAAATAATTTGGATTGTTTTAATGTTAAAGAAGGCCTACAGGTCACAATAACCGTAAAGGATGGTTCATTGATAAACAGAGATACAATGTAAAACTTTTTATCTTGGTGCCAATTGTATATCGACGGGAAAACCACCATGTCATGTCAGCGGACCTTCCAGATTTAGATTGCTCACAGGTTGCACACGATCCTAGAAATAACTCGTTGCAACTTTTGATTTTTGATTTTGATAAAAGGACGTCAATCATGGGAAAAGAGACGACTTACGTCTATCCGCTGATTGACCGGGAATTTATAAGACCTGACGCTCAGCAAGATCTGCGTTCGATTTATTTACCTGCGCTCCGAAAGGCTGAAAAAGGTATTGATAACAGTTGATCTTTGGTGCCAGGATGCGAAATACGAATTTAAGACAAACAAAAACAAATAAGGACACGGTCATCAGATGGATTCTGTACAAGACACCCAGGTGTCGAAAATGTATGTGATCACAAAGGACATACGGGTAGATAGTTAAACAAGCATGCATTTGTTTGAAATATCCACGCGTGCCGAGCGTCGGAGACGAAACTGTAAGAAGTCACAATTAATGTTCTACAAAGTTATATTAATCAGTGTTGGTGGTTTGGAGGGCGTATCGTCCATATGCATTCTAAATGTGAAAGGAAACTAAAGTGCGCGAGGAAAACCCGCCGTCGAGCAAGTTTTCATCTCCGGTCAAAGAATCGAACCCTGGTCGCCGAATGTTAGGGACCATATGCCAATGCGCATGCAGGTTTTTCGGTATAATTTTTATTGCCATGATAACCAGATCATTATACAGAGTTTTTATTTTAATCAAGCATAGCTCATCAGTACTTGGGTCAAAGACTTTATTTTAACGCGTCAGGTGTTTCCAGAACCGTAACTATGGAAACATAATAGAGGCTTATAATTTTTTGAAATTGGGAAATTTTCCGATTATTCTGAAGTTTAATCATGTCAGTGTTCTGAAGAATGGTATTTGCATGACAAAGGTATTTTGCATGTCTAGGGAAATTCAAGGTCATACATAAAACATGGATGTCACACTGGGATTGGATCTAAAACTGCGAGGTGTTTATTATTATCATTATTATTACTGTTTTTTTAGTGGGGTTGGGGTGTTAGTGTGACAGTTCAAGGGAGAAAGGTGCGAACAAACAAACTATATATATATCGACCCATTCTGATAGAAGATCATCTCAAAAACGAAAATTATTATATTATATTCACAATTCACATTTCGCAAGTTTGCGTATTTTTCAGCCTTTTATTATCAAGACTTGTTTCACTGAAAGTACTAAGTTCGAACCTTAATCGTGAAAATACAGTGATGTATTATTGTTGTTGTTGGTATTGTTGTTTTAATGTTCATAGACAATCGCTTATATTGTACGTTGAATAAAATAAAAACCACAGTTGGTATGTGGACTCAGTAGTAAGTACAACGTATGGACGGCTTCCTTACCGGCAGTTAACAGTAGCAACTGACCTCTCTCAAAAATGTCTATACTTAAGAAAAGTATGCCTATCTGGACCTCCAATAAAAGAGAATAATATTTTAAAAGTGATTTCCTGATAGGTGAATCTCGCTAGCTTTTGTCAATAGTAGATCATTCTGTTTCTCTCTCAGTTATCGTGTAGTTCTATATCCATTAAATGTATTTTTACACGTGAAAACAATTTCCTAACTAGCCCATCTCGTGATTTATGTGATATTTGTTTATCGTATCGACCTTCAATGTTCTCAGGTAACTTGTTACTGATATCGTATGTACAGTGATATGTATACGTGTGTAAAGTAAAGTGGACAGACAAGTGTTCATTTACCATTTCATTACCTCACGGTAGATACGTGTGTTAATTATACAGTCAATAAAGGTTCGTACAGCTATGGAAAATTCTTTGTTTGATTTTGATGTAATATAGCTAAAACTTGTAGCAAAGGGTCACAAACAATAGAAATCCGCGGATTTTCTTGATTGATTGATGAATAACAATGACTAAAAGAAAACACACACTATATGTGATTTCGTCAAAATTACGAACCTCGAAAAAAGTTTCTTCAAAGTGTGATAATGATATTTATGCAATTTGTGTAATATATTGTATTTGTAAGGACAATACAAACCATACAAATATATAAAATAATAAATACATATGATATACATAGAAAGGTCTTCTAACTGCATAAATCAACAATTAAAAATACCTATTTCTTTAAGTGGTATCAGTATCCTTCATAACGTCCAGACAGGCTAAAAAAGTTATGAAATGAAGTTGCTTGCTTGGATACAGTGACAACATGTGGGAGACAATGGCCTGTATGGAGTGTGTTTGGTTGTTAGGGTCATCACCGGTGAACAATCAGGGTCATTTTGAGGCGGACTCACACTATAGTAGCTGTTGGCTATCCTATTGAACAACATCCAGGAGGCACGTCGCATGCGGGGCAATTAGAGTAAATTGCCTAGCCCAAGGACACAACCACGTCAGCACAGAGACTGGTCCCTTTTAACTGCTTCCTGAGAAATACCAACCTGCACGAGTAATGAGAGTCGAACCACGCACCTCGGATCTTCACCTAAGGTCACGTAGAATATCCCTCCATATATAGTAACAATGGCCGGTTCAGAAGGAAGAAAGCTACAAAACGTCAACTAAACAGCACTCGAGACTCTGAATTCATCAACTTATGACAACGGAACCATTCCACTACAAGGCGGAAATACCATCTTTGCCAAAGTTCGACTTGGAGTGGAACTTGACTATTTTCACTAACGTTGTCAGTTGTAGTAGTTTCTGACTGTTATGGAGATCCGTTCCGGTTATTGTTCTCGGAACGAAGGATGAATTGGATCATAACTTGACCATTTTGACCACGGCAAGGAAAATGGCAGAGTCTTTATGACGTTACCCTCTATATATCTAGTATGTCTCATAGCGATGTGCAATCACGCAAGGAATTCTTCAAATCGCTGTGAAAGGTCAAATCTTAACATCTCGTGTCATGTAACTTTTTAAAATGCTACCTCACAATGACCTTATACATCAGTATGACACAACAATTATCTACGATTTATATACAGTCTGTGTGTTTTATAAAGATATTTCGGAAGGTTTTTCAAAAATTTATTACAACACATCAAGAGGTGCTAAATATCCACATTTGTTGATGACGTCATATCATTGTTTTCGGTACTATTGTAGTGTTTACTTAAGTTCTGATTTCAAAAATAATTCGAGTCACTATTAGCAGTATAATGTTGGAAATGTTAATAAGCAGATGACTGCAGAAATCAAAGTAATGTGTTATTTTCGCTAGTAGAGCATTTGCCCGACCACTACACTCGGTTTCTGTCTCCGTTTCTGTGGATATGATGTTCTGTCACACTGATGTCGGTTTTTGACACTTGCAGCGGACAAAGTCTTCACAAATAGACCGCTTTATATGACGAGACATATCGCCTTTGTTGTTTTCAGAGTAGGTGGTAAATATTTTGAAATAGCCTTAAGCTTGGAAAGCCTTCCCAACAAGTAAGAAGTGAAGTGAAGGAATGAAAAGTACTGCAAAAAACTTCTAACGACAGACAAGTTAATGTACCACTGTCTACAGCACAAACCATGGGACCCTGCCTTATCACTTCTCTTAATGTAACACTGTTTACAGTACAAACCATGGGACTCTGCCTTATCACACCTCTTAATGTACCACTGTTTACAGTACAAACCATGGGACCCTGCCTTATCACACCTCTTCATGTACCACTGTTTACAGTACAAACCATGGGACTCTGCCTTATCACACCTCTTAATGTACCACTGTTTACAGTACAAACCATGGGACCCTGCCTTATCACACCTCTTCATGTACCACTGTTTACAGTACAAACCATGGGACCCTGCCTTATCACACCTCTTAATGTACCACTGTTTACAGTACAAACCATGGGACCCTGCCTTATCACACCTCTTAATGTACCACTGTTTACAGTACAAACCATGGGACCCTGCCTTATCACTCCTCTTAATGTAACACTGTTTACAGTACAAACCATGGGACTCTGCCTTATCACACCTCTTAATGTACCACTGTCTACAGCACAAACCATGGGACCCTGCCTTATCACTCCTCTTAATGTAACACTGTTTACAGTACAAACCATGGGACTCTGCCTTATCACACCTCTTAATGTACCACTGTTTACAGTACAAACCATGGGACCCTGCCTTATCACACCTCTTCATGTACCACTGTTTACAGTACAAACCATGGGACCCTGCCTTATCACACCTCTTCATGTACCACTGTTTACAGTACAAACCATGGGACACTGCCTTATCACACCTCTTAATGTACCACTGTTTACAGTACAAACCATGGGACCCTGCCTTATCACTCCTCTTAATAATGTAACACTGTTTACAGTACAAACCATGGGACTCTGCCTTATCACTCCTCTTAATGTAACACTGTTAACAGTACAAACCTATGGGACCCTGCCTTATCACACCTCTTAATGTAACACTGTTTACAGTACAAACCATGGGACTCTGCCTTATCACTCCTCTTAATGTAACACTGTTTACAGTACAGACCATGGGACTCTGCCTTATCACTCCTCTTAATGTAACACTGTTTACAGTACAAACCATGGGACTCTGCCTTATCACACCTCTTAATGTAACACTGTTTACAGTACAAACCATGGGACCCTGCCTTATCACACCTCTTAATGTAACACTGTTTACAGTACAAACCATGGGACTCTGCCTTATCACACCTCTTAATGTACCACTGTTACAGTGCAAATCAAATATGTTCGTTCATTTCGGTTGCCGCAAACTAAAATGAAACAAATATGTGGTAGTTGAGATGAATGAATTGTGACAACTGTATTATAGATACAGATACGATTGATCGGTGTATAATATACTGTTTGTATTACTAACTAAAACTACCATACTGGGTGATAAATAA